GACAGGAGAGATACTATAATTGTTTATCAGACTAATAGTCAAAGGATCGGCTTCACTTGTTTCTTAGATGGGTTATAGTGTGGTGCTAATACCGGCAAGGTACATTAAAGATGCGGACTACGATGCCGGAGAAACGACTGGGAATGTACCACGTCTACGGTCCAACTCTGAAAATTATCATGCATACTATGGACTCCAGTCTAGTTGCGTTTCTCTATGTCTCCTTACCAATATGACCAAGTTGCAAAACCAAGGTCAAACAACTTCCAAACAACGAAAGGAGACTGTCACCATACCAAAAGCCACAGCATCTTAGTCTTCATATCTTCGGATGAGTTTTACGGTTTGGCGTTATTCGTTTTTATTGTTTGCCATTTCCAAGTGCGTGGCTTTCAATCACTTTCAGATTTGGAGTCCAAGGCTCGAAAGCAATGATCTTATTTCATAATAGTTCAAATCATTTCCTTAATCCTTGTAAGATATATGTTTAATAGATACAAATTTTTGTAATGTCTGGAAAAAGCATTTATTTTTCTGTTTATAACACATATTTGAGTTATCTAATCGTAATGCTTTAATAATATAAACGGTCAGGAAAATTGCCTATAACTTATTCCTTAGATTTACCAAAATAAATTAGACAATACTTGGTCTATTAAAATGTTGAAAGAAAATTTTTAACAAGCCAATATGACCAAGTTGCGTAACACTCATTCTCGCAACCTTTAGAAAAACAGAGAAATTTCAACAAGTTGATTATACATAGGTCTGGTAAGCTATAGCAGGCGACTGGGCGCACGATTAATATTCCTAATAAGACTTAATACAATTTCTGTATCAGGTCACCGAAAATAGAATTGGGAATCAAATGGCCATTTAAATAACCAATTAAGGATACCGTAGATACAAAACCCCGGGAAGGTGGATATTATCTCATTATTTAATCCTTTAAATCGCGACAGCTAATATTCAAGCAGATCTCATGGATAAATAATAAATAATTTATTCTTATCAAATAGTTAATAAATCAAATAAATCAGTCTTAAAAATGAACTACCGAGTTGTCTACTTCCTTCCAGTGCCGAATCTCCTCCCGCAATTCATGACCCGGTCCTAGGGGACCAATAAAAGTGCTCGGATCGGCTTCATCCGCGTTGGATACATGAAGAATATTTTCGGCCGGAGAGGTGCAGGCAAAGTGTTTAGGAAGGCAAGGTCCAATACCAGTGGAGGGGACTGCCAAATCGGATTGAAAAGTTGGTCCAATCAAGTTTCGGGATGAAGTTTCTTCGCTGGAAGCTTCATTCTCAGAATGGAGATTGGAGCCCTTATAGAAAATGTGGGGAATGAAGGACCACTAGAACAACAAACAGTGCACAAAGGGCTCTAGAGTACTCACGATGGAACAAGAATCAGACATGCGGTCTTTGTAGCAAACTAACCGGATCTAGGCAGGCTTTGACGTGCATAACGACCTAGTCGTCTACTTAGAATGGTACACTTGCTTTGGCTAGGTAATATACACAATAAAATAATCGAGTGCTATCGAGTGAAATATGAAGATAGGTGGAAGGTATAAAGCCGTAATTTTAAACAAGGGATACAAACAAAAAATAGACCATAGCACCGCAGAAATTTAGTTAATTTCTATATCTAATGATTAATTGGTTAATATTAAAAACAAAGCTCAAGATTCTTGTAATTAGGCGTCATCGCGCCAGCAGATGTAGTAATATAAG